TCACTATTTACTAATATATACTAATATATTCTAACATAACAAACATACATACTCTCCTCACTCTCTCTGTTGTGTGTTGGTGTGGTTGTCCCGTAAGTGTGTGTTCCTGTTCTATGTTTCTGTCTCTCTTTCCTCCTCCACTACCCACTACTCTCTCTCATCTCTCTCCTCTCTCTCACACCACATCCTCTCTCCTCTCTCATTCACACCAATATATATATAATATATATATATCATACAAAAAATCTATCCTACTAATATAATCATCACTTAATTAGTGATGTTAGTAGTGTGAGTAGTGTGCATTAGTATTATGTGTAATCTTAGTATATTATTAACATATGTTTCTAATTATCTGTATCATAATTATATATAAACTATATAATTAACATTATATTATTAAATATAACAAATATATATTTAATATTATAATATATACTACATACTTTACTCTCTCTTAACTATCTAAATCATCTCATCATAAATCTCCTCTATAATCAATATATCATATATCTCTTACTATACTACTATATATATATTCATAAAAATAATATAAATAAGATATTATTAAAATAACTTAATATATATATACGATAATATTATATATATAAATAAGATATCATAAACAAATAAGATATATAATATAATACAGATCTGAATAATATATAGATATAATATATAATATGATATATAAACCTCTTCATATATCATAAATATTCATAAACTATATATCACCTTCATATAACTATACTTAATACTACTCCATCCATCCTTACTCTCTCTCCTCCTCTCTCGTCCTGTGTTGTGTGTGTGTGTGTGTGTGTGTGTCTGTCCTATGTTTCTCTCTCGTCTCTCTCTCTCCTCTCATCTCTCTCTCATCTTTCTCCTCTCCTCTCCATCTCTCGTCTCTCCTCTCTCTCTCTCTTCTCTCTCTCTCGCTCTCTCCTACCTGTGTCTGTCTATGTCTCTCTCTCTCTCTCGTCTCTCTCTCTCTCTCTCTCTCTCTCTCTCTCGCCATCTCTCTCATCTCTCTCCTCTCATTCTCCTCTCTCCTCCCTCTCTACTCTAATCTCTCTCTCTCTTCTCCTCTCTCTCATCTCCTCTCTATCTATTCTCTCTCCTCTCCCTCTCTCTTCTCCTCTCTCCTCTATCTCCTTTCTCCCTCTCCCCTCTCTCTCTCTCTCCTCCTCTCTCTTATCCCTCATCTCTCTCCTCTCTCTCGTCTCCTCTCTTCATTCCTCTTTTCTCTTCTCTTCTCTCTCTTCTCCTCTTCTCTCTCTCCTCTCTCCTCTCTCGTCTCCTCTCCTCTCTCTCTCCTCCTCCTCTCCTCCTCCTCTCGTCCTCTCTCTCTCCATCTCTCTGTCTCTCTCCTCCCTCTCTCTCTCTCTCTCTCTCTCTCGGTCTTCTCTCTCCTCTCTCCCCTCTCTTCTCTCTCTCTCTCTCTCTTTCTGCACCTTCTGTTGCAGTGTTGCACCACGAAGGACTGTACCTGACCATTAGGCCTGATATATTCCCCTTTGTCGCCAGTGTTGCTTCATCCTCCTCGCGAGCCGGATGCACTGCAGTTGGTGCTTCGATCTGTGCAATGGCAAGATAATCAATCCGCTTAAAGATCGCGCTACGACTTGCAACGACCTTAGCTAGTATTGCAAGGCCATGTAACGCTAATCGCTTTCGGAGTGTTGAAAAGCAGCTTGCAACATACTATCGTGAACAAGCTGGTGTGTGTGTGTGTTTTATGTTTTGAATTTAGCGATTTTATTTGCAGTATTATAGAGCGATGCAAGTGCCGTGCGTATGACACTGCAGCAGAAAGAAGTGGAGGGACTGCTTGGCTGCAACGTTCTGTGCAATATTGCAATAAAAGTTTATAAGGGACGTGTTTGTATTTCAGATGATATTAGACGGAAGTGAAATATTGTGAATATTTCGTATAGTTCTCTTACTTACGGAATTATATAAACTTTACTAGGTCATATGCGCATTTAAAGGGTTACGGAAATATATTTGAATATTTCGTATATCTGTTACTACATTGTATAAACTTTACTAGTCATATGCGCATTTAAAGGTTACATATATTTAGCACACATTTAAAAAGTTGTAATGATAAAGATTATTAAATAATATAATAATATCAGATATTGCATAGCAGACACAACCGTCACGCTGCAGATTGAACTTGCTGCAAGGTTTTTGCATGAAATGATGAATATTATCTGAATCTTGATCTGTGCAAAATGAAAGCACATGCCACGCACATATCCCAGTATTGCAATTTCCTCTACATCGCTGTTGCAACGAGAGCAAATGACAGATTGAACAGAATATCACAGAAGCTCATAGGAGAGGTGAAATGAACATCCTCGTGAAATGCAGAAAAGAGGAGGGAGGGAGAGAGAGGGAGGAAGAGAGAGACGAAAGAAGAGAAGATAGAGAGAGAGAGAAGAGAGAGAGAGAGAGAGAAGAGAGAGGAGAGGAGGGAGAGAGGAGGAGGAGA